AAAAAAAATTCTGGAGAGTGAATGCCCAACTAAGTGAATATTCTTAACACGATTGAAATGTAAACCTAGGGCTAGGCGCGATGGCTCACGCCTGTAATCTCAGCACTTTGGGAGGCCCAGGCGGGCGGATCACGAGGTCAGGAGTTCGAGACCAGCCTGACCAACATGGTGGAACCCGTCTCTACTAAAAATACAAACATATATCAGGTGTGGTGGTGCGGGCCTATAATCCCAGCTACGCAGGAGGCTGAGACAGGAAAATGGCTTGAACAAGGGAGGCAGAGGTTTCAGCGAGCCAAGATGGCACTATTGCACTCCAGCCTGGTGACAAAGTGAGACTTTGTCTCAAAAAAAAAAGGAATGTAAACTTAGGCTGGGCCTGGTGGCCCAGGCCTGTAATCACAGCACTTTGGGAGGCCGAGGTGGGCGGATCACCTGAGTTCAGTTCAAGACCAGCCTGGCCAACATGGTGAAACTCCATCTCTACTAAAAATACAAAAAATTAGCCGGACATGGTCGTGCACCTGTAATCCCAGCTACTCGGGGAGACTGAGGCACGAGAATCGCTTGAACCTGGGAGGCAGAGGTTGCAGTGAGCCAAGATCACACCACTGCACACTAGCCTCTAGTCTGGGCAACAGAGTAAGACTCAGTCTCAAAAAAAGAAAAAAAGAAGGCAATGTAAACTTAAATAGTTAAGGTGATAAATGTGTATTTAACTTCGATTAAAATGTAAAAGAGCCAGGCACATTAGCTCACACCTGTAAACCCAGCACTTTGGGAGGTGGAGGTAGGTGGATCCCCTGAGGTCAGGAGTTCGACATCTGGCCAGCCAACCTGGTGAAACCTCTCTCTACTAAAAATACAAAAATTTGCTGGGCGTGGTGGCGGGTGCCTGTAATCCCAGCTACTTGGGATGCTGAGGCAGGAGAATCACTTGAACCCGGGAGGTGGAGGTTACAGTGTACCAAGACTGTACCACTGCACTCCAGCCTGGGCGACAGAGTGACTGCGTCTCAAAAAAAAAAGTAAAAGAAGGCTGGATGTGGTGGCTTGCACCAGTAATTCCAGCACTTTTAGAGCTGGAGGTGGGCGGATCACTTGAGGTCAGGAGTTTGAGACCAGCCTGGCCAACATGACGAAACCCTGTCTCTACTAAAATTACAAACAAATTAGCCTGGCATGGTGGTATGCGCCTGTTATCCCAGCTGCTAGGGAGGCTGAGGCAGGAGAATTGCTTGAACTCAGGAGGTGGAGGCTGCAGTCAGCCAAGATTGCACCATTGCACTCCAGTCTGGGCAACAGCAAGACTCTGTCTTAAAAAAATAAAATTAAATAAATAAAAGGAATCAGGAAATTTCAAATATAGTCCAATTTCTGAGTTAGCAGTGTGAAGATCTGGCAAGGCTGGGTTGGCATTCCCTCTTGGGAAAAATATCCTGAAATGAGTAGTGGCTGCCCTGCCAGAGAGGGCATGAGCTTTCTGCTATTCATTTATGCTGCACACCAGCAACTGTAAGCATTTGCATTTGTAACCTTGGTCCTGGGGTAAGTATTTGCATTGTAATCTTTGTCCTGAAATTGTCTAAAGTTGGAGTCAGACAGCCTAAATATCTATCAGGTTCCTCCTCTTATTAGCTATGGTGACAACCTATGGTCACTTAACCTCTGAGAGTCGGTGTCCTCTCCTGTAAAATAATGTGGATAAAATGTTCTCTAACAGGCAAGATGAATAATGTGTGTGAAAATACCTTGTAAGCAATAAATTGCTGTTCATACAGAAAGCAAAATAAATAACATTCATTCCAATCCTGTTGTTTAATGTATGCTGAATTTTTTGTTGATAACATTATTTTTTCATTTATTTCAGCTTTCTATTATTTTAATCAGATTTCTGAGGAAACGAGTTTAAAAATTATTTGATTTTAAAAATAAGTAATATATTTCCTTTTAGTTTTTAGTTTAAAATCTCCAAAGGTATATAGAATGAAGATTATTCCCCCAATCTTCCTTTATCTTGGAAGTTACAAATTTGTGGTTACATGTAATGGTAGAAGTTACCATGTGTAATTACTACTATGACATAGGTAACTACTACTACCTATGTAGCAGAAGTTACAAATAGGTAACTACGTGCACCCCATTTTCCTTGCATGTCTCCAGAGTTTTAAAGTGCATATTCTGGACCTGGCACAGTGGCTCACGCCTATAATCCTGGCACTACGGGAGGCTGAGGCGGATGGATCATGGGAAGTCAGGAGTTCAGGCCAGCCTGGCCAATATATAGTGAAACCTCGTCTCTACTAAAAAAATGTGCTAGGTGTGGTTGCGCTCCCCTGTAGTCCCAGCTGCTTGGAAAGCTGAGGCAGGACAATCACTTGAACCTGGGAGGTGGAGGTTACAGTGAGCTGAGATCACGCCACTGCATGCCAGCTGGGCGACAAAGCAAGACTCTGTCTCTCAATAAATAAATAAATAAATTTAATTAAATTAAAAAGTGCATATTCTGTTTTTCTTTTTTTGTGGGGGAAGTGATTTTTAATATAAAGCTTTTTACAACTTTACTTTTGAAAATAATTTCTGCACTACTGAAAGCAATGTTGCTGTTCATTGTTTCAGGAGACGAAAACCTCTCATGATTATTCAGCTGGGTTACAATTACTGTTACTTGGCAGGCTACGTTCTTTACCTTTTCATCCTGTCATGCAAAATATCTAACTCATCAGCATTAACTGTGTTCATCTTTTCTTTCTCTTCTCCTCTTTCTTTCTCCTTCCTCCTCTTCTTCCTCTTCTCCTTCTTCCCCCTCCCCCTCCCCCTCCTCCTTTCTTCTTCTTTTTGGACAGGATCTCATTATGTGCCCAGGAGACTGGAGTGCACTGACTATCCACAGGCACAATCATAATTCACCATAGCTTCCCAAGAAGCTGGGACTACAAGTGCATACTGCCATGCCCAGCTTTAATGTGCTCATCTTTATTATATCCTTGTTAGTAATGAATTTTATCTCATTTCGTAGGACTTGAAAAACAAAGTTTATAAAAGAAGTACATTGATATTTACCAGCTGGGCACAGTGGCTCACACCTGTAATCCCAGCACTTTGGGAGATCAGCTGGGAGGGCTGCTTGAGGCCAGGAGTTCAAGACCAGCCAGGACAACATAGAGAGACCCCCATCTCTACAAAATATTTTAAAAATTAGCCTGGTGTGGTGGCACATGCCTGTAGTCCTAGCTACTTAGGATGCTGAGGTGGGAGGATCCCTTTAGCTCAAGAGTTTTAGGTTATAGTGAGCCATGATCACACCACCATACTCCAGCCTGGGCAACAGAACAACTCTGTCTCTAATATAAATAAATAATCAATCAATCAATCAACTGAATGATATTTAGCTTCCTTTGCAGAAAAAAAACAATTAATTATGATATTTCTAAAGAATGCATTTCCCAGGAACTAAATACTAGATGGAGCACTGACTTCTAGAGTTGGATTGGCCCCAGGATGCATGATTTCTTTTTGAACCCCCCGGCCTCCAGTTATCTACTTCCTTGCTTTTCTCCACTGTCTCAGCCTCGTCTCCATAGTTTATCTCAGCTTGGTGGGAGAGGTTTTTGAGGCCATGTCATTTATTTGACCTTTCCAATGTATTTGGTCATGGTTTACCATTTTTGATGTGCATTAGTGATTCTCATCTTTTAAAAAAAGATTTCTTGGGCCACATTCCTCTCCAATAACACCCTATTTCTCTGATTTTTCCAAAGTGAAACTTCTTGAAAGAATAGTCCATATTCACTGTTTCTATTTCTTCATCTCTTCTCTCTTCAGGCCACTCCAATCATGCTTGTGTTTAAACTAATCCACTGAAATGATTCTAGTCCAGATCACTAAAGACGTTTCAATCTTGCCATCAATTCTTGATGATATCTTACTTGTCCTCTCAGTCACATCTGAAAAATTGGTAATTGGGCCTCTCTCAAAACAGGTCTTGCTGGGCACGGTGGCTCAAGCCTGTAATCCCAGCACTTTGGGAGGGCGAGGCGGGTGGATCACGAGGTCAAGAGATCGAGACCATCCTGGTCAACATGGTGAAACCCCGTCTCTACTAAAAATACAAAAATTAGCTGGGCATGGTGGTGCGTGCCTGTAATCCCAGCTACTCAGGAGGCTGAGGCAGGAGAATTGCCTGAACCCGGGAGGCGGAGGTTGCGGTGAGCCGAGATCGCGCCATTGCACTCCAGCCTGGGTAACATGAGTGAAACTCCGTCTCAAAAAACAAACAAACAAACAAACAAACAAAAAAACAGGTCTTTATTTGGTTACTGAGACGACACATTCTCCTGACTTTCCTGCTAATTGGCTGATTCTCTTTCTCTTCCTGAATTATAAATGTTGGGGTGCCTCAGGGCTCATTTCAATATACATGCTCTGGGTAACTCTATCAAGTCTATGGCTTATACTGATGACTCCCATATTTCTGTCTCCAGCCCTGTTAACACTCCTAAGCTTCAGACTTGAATATCTAACTGCTATTTGACATTTCCACTTGGATGTCTAGAGGAATCTAAAATTTATCATGTCCAAGACATCTTTCATCCTTCTCTGCCCACTCTCTCACATCTGTTCTCCTCCTCTCCATTGCAAATAATGGGCAACAGCATTAACCTATCTATTCAGGTTAAAAAGCTAAGAATCATCCCCAAATCATCTTTTTCTTTCACTCCCAGCACCCAATTCATTAGCAGCAATCATATTGGCTACACCTCCAAAATATATATATCCTGAATCCAACTAATTTTTTGTATCTCCAATGCCAATGCCCTAGGCTAAGTCATTGTTATCGCTCACCAGGACTGCCACAGAGCCTCTTAACTTACATCCACCCTTGCTCCTTTATGGCTCATTCTGCAATGCACATGGTATCCAGAGGGTTCACATAATTTTTTTTTAAAAAGACTTCAATGGCTTTCCATCATACACAAAATAAAATTACAAATCCTTACCATGGCCTCCAAGGATCTTCATAATTTGTCTTTTTCTACTTCTTTGGCTTCATCTTCTGCCCCTCTCTCACTTGGTTCTAGTAACATTGGCACCTTGCTCTTCTTGGACATTTCAGGTTTGTTCCTGCCAAGGGGTTTTACACTTGCTGCTCCCTGTGACTGGAATGCTCCGACCCAGACATTTGCGCAGATGGTTCTCGATCACCAGGTCATGATTTAAGTTTCAGCTCCACACCTCCTAGCCAGATGTGATGGCTCACACCTGTAATCTCAGAACTTTGGGAGGCAGAGATGGGAAGATCACTTGAGCCCAGGAGTTGAGGCTGCAGTGAGCTATGACGGTGACACTACACTCCAGGCTGGATGATAGAGCAAGACCCTGTCTCTCTCTCTCTCTTTTGAGACAGAGTTTCACTTTGTCACCCAGGCTGGAGTGCAGCGGCGTGATCTTGGCTCACTACAACCTCTGCCTTCTGTGTTCAAGCAATTCTCCTGCTTCAGCCTCCCAAGTAGCTGGGATTACAGGTAAATTTTATATTTTTAGTAGAGACAGGGTTTCACCATGTTGGCAAGCCTGGTCTCGAACTCCTGACCTCAAGTGATCCACCTGCCTCGGCCTCCCAAAGTGCTGGGATTAGGGGTGTGAGCCACAGCGTCCAGCCAAGACCCTGTCTCAAAAAGAAAAAGAAAAACAAAGTTACATCCTTGGAAAATATTCGCTGACTACCACATCTAAAGTAGCCCCACTACAGTTATTTTCTATCCCATTTATTTTACTTTCTTCTTAACATTTGCTGAATGGATTTACCTAAATGTCCAATGTGGTTTAAAACATATTTGAATCTAATGATTAGAATTCTGTTAGTCAATAATCTCTTTGGAAAGAAACACTGAACCTTTCCTGTGGCTGCCCTCTCCCTCTGAGTGAGTCTCTAAAATAGTGTCTGCATCTGTGAGGCATTATGATGTTGGGAAAGCCTGAGACCTTGGATCTATTTGGAGTCCCTGACTTCTCAGGATGCTCTATAACCTGTTGATAAGACAGTGGAATGTTTTGTAGCCTGGCCTAGCTAAGTTTACTCAGAGCCTGAAGGCAAACCACAGCTCTTCCTGAGGTCTGGCTGTTACTACTTTTTGTTCCTGGCCCAGTGTAATTTACAGAGCTACTTCCTCCTATACTTGCCAGCCAGTGTTCTTGGCTACTTTCCTTATTCTTCCACAGGGTATGTGGGAACTTCTGGATATATTCTATCACGGTAGCTAAGGACCACTCACTTGCAGAGCTCCTTCCAAAACTCTATACCTAATTTTGTGTATGTAATTCTGTGTTCTTTTTCTAAAAAAACAAAACAAAACAAAACAAAAACAAAACCAAAAAACCCTCCCTCTCCCCTAATCATATAAGCCTCAAGAGCTGTAAAACCTGAATTCACCTCTGGCTGAGAGACACTCTGAGGAGCTAAATGCAGGCCTTCTTTCTTTTCCCAATTACACCGGGGCTTGACTTTCTTCTGTGGCTGTCTGCTTGTTGGTATGGGCATAGTCTGGAAGTCATATCTACCTGGAATCCTAAACAGGAGCAGAGCAAGAATCCTTTCTGCTTTGAAGAGTTGGAATGAGAAGACAGGGGCACATGTCTCTCAACTGTATGCCTCTCTTACTTCTCTCTTTGTTCTTCTTCTCTCTACCCTTTTATTAAGGGTCAGGCTTTTCTTTTATTTCCCTATACACAGCCTCATGGCTTAGCTGTCCTGGATGGAAGGACGTTTGGATAGAAGGCATTTCCTCTGGAGTATGGAAGAACTCCATGAAATTATGATGTGCTGAACTTCATAGATTAAATGGAACTAGGGAAATTTAGCAAATTCCTTTTCTCTCCATTCTGTTCTCTCCTGATTGGGAAAATAAGTCTCGAAGCTACATTTCAAGGAAGAGTCTATGATGGAAGATGACTTAAGAAAGTTAAATCAATTTGATACTTGCAAGATATCACCCCCATTATATTCTAGGGTTTTTTTGAGATAAGTCAGAACACTGAACTTGTAAGTGAAATATCCCATTTAAAATGTTGATATATGATTTAATTTTTTTAAAAAAAGGTAGTAATACTCATATGGTGCTAGGAACCAACAGTGTTCTAGGAGATTTAGAGATGTTAACTAATCAAATCCTCTTGGTATCCCGTTCTACAGATAAGGAAAGTGAAGCACAGGGCAATTACCTTGACCAAGATCATATAGCTATACACAATACAAACCAAATGCATTTCTATGGGACAAATTTGGTCACAAGGCCACCAATTTACAACGTCTAGTTTCTGATATTTCACATAAGTCCGAAGGAACAAGCCTTTGAATTCTGACTTGGCCTCTGTGCTGAATGATCTTAGACCAGTCGCTTAAGCTCTGTGATCCCTTCTCTAAAATCATGATTAACTTTGTATTGCTCACTAGATGGTTTTCTCTTTTCTCATTCCTCCATATGGATGATTACACTGAACATTCATGTTACGCTTGTATATTATCTGAAGTGCACAAATCCCTCCTATTATTCAAGACCTAACACATTGCTAACATCTCCCAAAGCAGTGTGTATAGGACAGGGCCCTGAGGATCAAGATGTCTGTGCCAGTGTTGATATTGTTACTAATCCTGTGTGTGATCTCAAGCAAATCATATCTTCTCTAAGTCTCAGAGGCTCCATCTTGAAAATGTGGAGTTGGACTAAACTAATGGCTCTAAACTGTAATCTAAGAAACTCAACATTTCTCTAATGATGGGAGGAGGCACGAAAGGAGAGAGAGTGCAAGGGTGAGGCTGGGTGAATAGACTAGTGGGTTCCCCACTTATACTCCCAACTTAGCAGCTCCGTTTTAAACCATCAGATTTTATTACAAGGGAGTATTCCGCTGCCAATAAAACAGGTGGAAACCACTAGAAGTTTTATGTAGCCACATTCCCTGGAACTATCTTTTCTTGGCTCCTCTTTTCTTTCTTGTCCTGGACATGTAACTAAAGAAAACATGTTTTTAAAATTCTGGCTGAAATGAACATATTTCTTTGTCCTTCTTTCTTCTCTCCTACCCAGGTGTGAAATTAAAGACAGCACTAAAGGCATAAGCAAGGCCAGCATGGAAACTTCCAGCAATTTCACAAATAGTTTTCAGCAAAATAGTATAGACTAGAAAACTTCTGTTTCAGAAGAGCTACCAAGTGATAAATAAAAAAGAAGTTACATCTCATTATCCTGTGACTTCAGGAGCTGCTCATTCCCACTTGAATACATCTTGTCATGGGGAAATGACCTTCAGGAAGCAACTTCTTTGTATTTCTTACCATATGTCTCCCCATTGTCCCTGAGCTATCATTATAAGCTTCATTTTTTTCTCTACCCAAAGCTTCTGGGAACTAGAATGAACAGAAGAGGAATGAATCAAGCCTTCATTTTCTTCAGCCATTTTCAGCTTAGGACCCAGCTTAGGTTTTGGAACAAGATAGACCTTTCCTGGTTTCCTGCTTAGAAATAAGATGATTATCCTTCAAGGCAGATTGTCAAGTTCCTTCAATAGAGGTGAATGAGGACACACATCACCTGCAAATCATTACATCTTCACTGGAGAATTATGATATTCTCCAAATACCATGAAACTTCAATTTTTAATCTTCTAGGGATACCAAATTAAATCAAATTTATCTCTTTCTTGCCTGAAGACAGCCTGGAGGACTGTGACTCAAATCTTGATTCCAGCTCCACACCAGCTGTTAGTTACATTGGGACAAATTACTTCCAACGACCAGGCTGCAATTTTATCATTGTGAGCACTGGAGTAAATGGCTCCCTAAGATCCTTCCCCATTTTGATGTTCTAGGAAGAAATTACTATTGAAGAAATTATTTCCAGTTGTTGGTTCAGTCTTCAAAATCATGAAAAGCTTTGATTTTAAGGTAAGGTTATAGGAGTTAGCCCTTGATATTCTATGTCTTGTGCTTCAGGAAACGGGGTCACAAGGGAGGAAAGTTGGTTTTCCTTGAGATGACTGTCTTGTTCCCTCATTGGTTTGGGATTCTTCATGTTCAGAGGTCCACTGAGAACTTCAGGTCACCATCACTTTCCCTTTTCAATGGTATCATTGCAGTCAGGTGTAAGATGGTGATGTGGATCCCTCACTGACATTGCACCCAATTCTCCAGATTATCTTTCCACTGATTTCTTTCATTCCTCCTTCATCACTGCGTCATGGTCCCTTTAAGGGAGCGGCCATAGTTGAGTGGTGGGAGCAGCTGCTGGCAGCAAAGAGACTTGCAGGATTTGGCCTACCCAGGGCCACTTACCGCGCACGCTCAGGACCGGGGGTTTGGTGGGAAAGGAAGGAGGGACTTAGGGTGCGCCTGCGCATCAGGGGCGCGCGCAAGGGGCTGGTTTGGTGATCCCTTTAAGAAACCGCAGGCGGAGGAATTTCTCTGAGAGAAAATAATCCTACTCACGGGGCCCCTTGGAGGCCATTAACCCCCCGAGTCCCGGCCCCCCCACGTCGCCGGGCAGGCCCTCCCGCCCACGCGCGGACCCGTGGGATCTCAGAAGCTGCGGCCCGGCGCCCGGCATCCGCCCCCTCCCAATTCTCGGCGCAAGGCCCGGCCGGGTCTGGGGAAGCTGCCGCGAGGCGGCCGTGCCTGCAGTGTGGGCGGGGGCCGGGGGCCCAAGAGGTACCGCCGCCACCGCGCGGGGAGCCGCAGCGGTTCCGAGCGGGGCCCAACATGGCGGAGAGAGAGGTGGAGTCCGGCCCCCGAAAGAGGGTAGGTGAGGTGAGGCAGAACTCGGCGGCTGGGGGCGGGGCGCGGCCCGGGGCCGGGAATGGGCCATGCTCAGGCTCGTGGAGGGGTCGCCGAGGCCCGGTTGGGACAAGATTGCGGGCAGGTCTGAGGCAGCCTTGGGTCTGGAGCGCGCTGGCGAGCGGTCCCTCGGCAGGTGGGACAAAGATTTGCTGCTGGGTGAGGGGGAGGAGAGGGGGCCGTTGTTTGCCTTCCTCCCCCCACCTTCCCCCACTCTGGGGTGGGATATCTGGGCCCGGGGTGAGGAGGTGTCAGATTCTTAAGTGCATCTTTAGTACATCAGAGTCTGTAAGTTTAGCTGGGGAGAGGTAAGGTGGGGGCGGTGGTGGCGGGAATAAGTCGTGGAGGGGTCTCAGGAGAAATAACCGGAGGGTTCTTAAGTAACACCATCACGAATTCATTTTCCTGCCTCCTTTCCCCTCCCCCCATAGCCGTTATCTAGACCAAAGTAGGGGTGGTGGTCTTACCTGTGAGGAAGTGGGATCGTTGGCATGTCCTGATTTTAGGAGAAAAATTTTGGCTACTATGAATGTCATGTTGTAGCCTAGCCTCTTAACTCGCGATTAGGGACATGGAAGAGTATGACAAGTTTTGTCGTAACAGGGATGTACCCAGTCAACCTGCAGAGGTGAAGCCAATTCTGCATAGGAGTTGTTTGAATGCTTTTTAAAGTTTGTCTTGAAACTTTTCTTATTTAATTCTGAGTGGTTTTTTTCAGATGGCGAACAATACTGTACTATCGATTGAGCAATATCCCTCAGACTTTTCTTTTACTTCCTCCCCGCTTAGCATGATAAGAAGTAAGTTTCCTTTTAGGAATCTTCCTTTTGGAAATGGTTTCAAAAACGATCGATTAGCGAAAGGGTAAAAAATCACTACTTTATGAAGAATGCCCTTTCAGCTTTGCATAAAATTAGTAATCTCATAATGATGCTACAGCTGAGGTTTTGAGTGCTTACTATGTGCCTGGCACTGAGCTAAGAGCTTTATTGAATAATTTAACTTCATAGCAACTTCACATAGAACCTATTTGCAGATGAGGAAATTTAGGCGTTGAGAGCTCAAGTAATTTACTTGGATCACACAGCTAGTTGCAAGGTTGAGCCAGGATTAGAATCCAAGTTTGTCCCAACTACAGTGTCTGTGTTGGATGCCACAGAGGAGTTTCTTTAATTTATGTTCCTATGTTTCTCTCCTTAAAAGCTCAACTTGCAAATGACCAAAATGTCAAGTATTATTTTTTCCAACAATTTATTAGGAAAATATTTTGAACTATCAGGCAAAATTATAAAACTTATAGGGAACAGCCATACACCCAGCCGCCTATGTTCTACTGTTAACATTGCATTCCTGCTGAGCTCGGTGGCTCACGCCGTAATCCCAGCATTTTGGGAGGCCGAGGCAGGAGGATCACTTGAGGCCAGAAGTTCAAGACTAGCCTGGTCAACATGGTGAAACGCCATCTCTACTAAAAATACAAAGAATTAATGAGGCATGGTGATGGGCACCTGTAATCCCAGCTATTCGGGAGGCAGAGGCAGGAGAATCGTTTGAACCTGGGAGGTGGTGGTTGCGCTGAGCCGAGATCAGGCCACTGCACTCCAGCCTAGGCATCAGAGTGATACACTGTCTCGAAAAACCCCCCAAAACAAAAAACCTTACATTCCACTTGTTTTATCATGTATTTATCGTTCTGCCCCTCTTTCTGTTTTCATCAGTCATGTTATTTTAATGCATTTCATTGCGTTTTGAACAATAAATTTTTAGTGTTGATAAGTTTACAAATTTTGGATTCACCTCATGTAATAATTAGTCATAGAGCGAGTTAAGCTCTATGATGCTATATCCAAATAGTTTTCTTTCTTTCTTTCTTTTTTGAGACGAAGTTTTGCTCTTGTTGCCCAGACTGGAGTGCAGTGGTGGGATCTCGGCTCACCACAACCTCCGCCTGATTCTCTTGCCTCAGCCTCCTGAATAGCTGGGATTACAGGCAGCACCACCACACCTGGCTAATCTTTGTATTTTTAGTAGAGATGGGGTTTCTTCATGTTGGTCAGGCTGGTCTTGAACTCCTGACCTCAGGTGATCCACCCGCCTCGGCCTCCCAAAGTGCTGGGATTACAGAAGGGAGCTGCCTAGCCCAGCCCAAATAGTTTTATAAGTGTAAATATTGGATATGGAATGCATGTGTTTTGAAATTGTAAAATTTTCAAGTTGTGTTCAGTTTTGAACTGGATCCTTATTGTGCTTGGATGAAGGCATATGGCATATAGTCTACCAATGAAAATATAGGGTAAATTACTGAAGATATGTAATGTTAATTCAGGGAGATTTCTGCATCCAGTTGCTGTGAATGTTGTCATTCACCTTCTGTATTAGGATGTTCTAGGATATTCTAGAAAACATATATGCACTTTGACAACAAATTCTACTAGATTTTAAATATATTCTATATCTTGTAGTACACTTAAAAGATGTTACTGGTCTTGTGAATCTTCTGCTAAAGGAATGCTGGAAAACAAAAAAAAGATGTCATACTGGTAGTAGTCAAAACTTTGTTATTATTATGTTTTAGATGGAGTATTGCTCAGTTGCTGGGGCTGGAGTGCAGTGGCGCAATCTCAGCTCACTGTAACCTCTGCCTCCTGGGTTGAATTGATTCTCCTGCCTCAGCCTCCTGAGTAGCTGGGATTATAGGCACGCACCACACGCCTGGCTAATTTTTGTATTTTTAGTAGAGACAGGGTTTCGCCATGTTGGCCAGGCTGGTCTTGAACTCCTGACCTCAGCTGATCTGCCCACCTTGGCCTCCCAAAGTGCTGGGATTACAAGTGTGAGCTACTGGGCCTGGCCGAAAACTTTATTATTTTTAACAACCTATAACATACATAGCACTTGTACAGGTTTCCCTATTATTTTGCCAGTTTCATCACAGAGGAAGGTTACATTCATTAATTTTTGGATCCATTATCCTGGCGTGATGGCACATGCTTATAAGTCCACCTTCCTATTCAGAGGTTGAGATGGGAGCATCGCTTGAGCCTAGGAGTTGGAGGTTGCAGTGAGTTATGATATTGCCACTGCTCTCCAGCCTGGGCAACAGAGGGAGACCCCCTCTCTAGAAAAAGTAAAAATAATACATGAATAATATTTTTCATCCATAATTTATTTTGTTTTTGATATTTTATTAGAATGTTCAGTATGATTGTCTTAGATGGTATAAGTACTTTTTTCCACTTTTTTTTGGTATGTGCCAAATTACACGTGGATTCCATATGTATACGCCAAGCAGGTAAATGGGGACTATGCAATGCCATGTTTTTGGAAATTGACTGTTTGCCTTGAGGGAGTTAAAACAAACTATCCACATAGACCTAGATAGTAACTTTAAGCTATTTAATCTGAAATTGGATTGATGACATGGTATTGTACTTAATGATACTTTTGCTTTTGACCTTTGTAATCATGTCACAGAACAGTTGTTAAGCACCTCTACTATTTGTAAAGCTATATGTTAGACATTGTGCTCTGTTACTTAGGGTCATTTAGGATAATATATGCTGGCCTTCCTGGTAAACTGTAAACTCCTTTAACGTAGTATCCATTTCATTGCTTTTTGCTTCTCATCATCTTGTGACCTCTACACAATAGGAACTCAAACAACTTAGTGATTTTTTTTCTAATAAGAAAAGCTTACCTATTATGGCAGAGGCTCTATGGGTTGGGTACTAAGTTCTTTGCTTTGTAATATTGAGGGGTTCTGTAAATCTTTCATAGTGTTCTTTACTCCCAAAGTTGTCTTCTCTGGATGCAGATTTAGGACTCTTCTGATTGTTCTGGATTATGGTTAGATGGACAGGTGACTGCATTTTTTAAGACCATTGGGTTATCAACCTTAAATTCTAGATAGGCCTGCCTGATGTCTTGTTTTTATATTTGTGGGCAGTTGAAACAGTTGTATTCAGAATATGCTAGAATGCCAGTCTCTCAATTTGTGAACATGGGGGAGCTGAGTATGTGGGTGGATCAGCACTGTATTTGTCTATCATCTCTGGTATAGAGAGAACCAAGTTCATATCATAGTGCCCATGCATAAAGGTGTTATAACAAGTATCATACCCACACAAATACATACACACAAATACACTTTAAAGTCAGCATATTATTTAACAATTTTTTTAAGATGATACAATTTTTGTTTTCTCAAATAGTTTTAAAGATTCATTAGGTAGTCTTATTATAAATGATTGAATTATTTATGCATGGCTATTATAATAACCAGTGTGTTATGAAGTATGAGGTCTAAATCTGGCGGCCGTGTTTTGTTGTAAAATCCTTGTCTTTTCAAAATTTACATACAAAATAATAACTTTTGTAAATGTAAATATTACCCCGTCTAGTAAGTTGTATTCATTTTCATACTTAAAACTCTCTGTATGTGAAATTTGAGGTGCCTGTATCTGGTATGCTTAAAAAAGAGAGAAAGCATATGTATAAGTAGTATGCTTCCATTTTTGTGAAAAACAAAATGACCTTTCTTGCCTCCCCACATATGTGTGTGTATATGCTTGTATATTTATGAACTTAGAGAAAATTGTGGAGGACACAGGTCAGGATGTTTACCTTCAGGGGGTAGGGAGGAGAAAGGAAAGAGATATAATGGTTAAAATTTCATAAAGTGGAAAAAGTATTCATGGTATAATGCTTAGTGAAAATGTGGATTATAAAATGTTATCTATTAATATAATATAAATGTGAAAATTGAACATGCCTGTAGACAGTAGAAAATACGAACAAATGAAAGCATTGACTTAATGATGTGTTGGGATTATGGAGAAATTTTGTTTTGAATTTCTGTTATTTTAATATTTTATAATAAAATAATTACAAAAGATGGATCCCTCTTAATTCCTTAATGGACTTTTTCTCTTTTCTGTCTTTTTGCTAAATGTATTACTTAAAAACATGGCAGT